GAAACTGATATGATAACGTCTTCACATCCATCGTAGAAAGCCAAATCTTCGCCGTCATCGAAGTTCCAGATAAAAAACTCATTATCGACCGTCAGCCATGCTTTACCGCAATTCGGGAAGACACCCATGCAACAGCACTGTCTCAACCCAGCAAACTTTTCCAGAAGTTCCGGTGGCAACGCAGTGCATTTTTCAAATTCCAGCTCTCCACCGACATGCAAATTAGACACTGTGTAGTCAAAATCAGAAAATCCACTGACGCCAGCAACATCTGAGCAATGTTTTTAAAGCCTACTATGCCTACTTACCTCCAAAATTGTAATTAGTTTTAACAGATATATCTCTAAATTGACCGTCTCTGTTAATAAGCTTATTAATCCAATCAGACGCCGAGTCACTCAGTGAAAGCAAAGGATTCATCAGGCCCTGTGACGACCTACAGGAATATGGTTAGTAGGTACCACACTTGCATACCATCATAAGACAAGATAGTAGAAGAAACTCGGGATTTGATGAAGGTATAATTATGCGGAGGTTATAATAAGGTTATTGAATAATGGAAAAAAGTAAATATAGGAGTAACGATACATTTTGGGTACAAGGGTTCAATAAGGAGAAAGCGGCCGGCTGCGAATAATGGGGATAATCATATAAAAGATTTCTGGTCGGGCTTGAGGTTGTTGGCCGACGTGTTGGTTGGTCGTGTTGAAAATTCTGAGAGGGTTGAGTCTCAGGACAAAAATAGTTTTTTTTCCTTCTTAAAAAAGTACAAAGACAGAACATAGTTCCTTAGAAAACTTGAATGCCGTAGAAAATGCCAGCAAAATAAATGCAAAAGCAAAAAGAACGTAAGGGCGAAGTGAAGATTCCGGAGCAGGCGAAAGTACCAAGTTATGTGGACTCTCAGTATATAACATCAACGTCCGTCTTCAGTTCTCTCTCTCTCTCTCTCTCTTGCTGAAAGACTTCACCAAAAGTGATAGAGTAAGGCTTTCCCGGCTTTTTGTGAGGAGAATCGATGTGCGCTTTCACGTACTCCAGCTGCCCGAAGTTGTTGCCAAAAATCTCGCACGCGAAGGGACGCAGGGTTTTGTGAAGAGAATCGACATGCACATTCACGTGCTCGAGCCGCACGAAGTTTTTCCCACAAATCTAACAGACGAAGGGACGCAGCGATTTGTGGATAGGCAAATGTGCTTCTTCATCTTTGAATTGTGGATATAGATTCTTCCAAAGACGTAGCACACAAACTTACGCAGCTCCAAACAACGCTGACCTTCCAAATCATTATGTTTCTCAACAAAGGGGCCTTCTCTCTCACGCAATGGATTTGGAATCTCTGCGGTTTTCGGCGCTATAACTAATTGTGTACTGCATGTATCAACATAGTAAGATAAGCTGCTTGTCGTATTTGATTTGTCTGCTGGTAAACTTGAAATAACCGAAGGTTATATATTTTCAGTTTTAACTCCGTTGGATAAAG